CGCCCTCCCCTGCCGCGTTCCCTGCTGGGGGGCCGGGGGCGGCAAGAAAAGCTTTGCCCCTAGTTGGTTCCTCCAGCACTTGCACCAGGAAATTGTCCCCTACACTTTCCAAAAACTTCCTGGATTGTCTGTGCACCGCTGTATTGCTCTCCCAGCAGATATCAGGGTGATTAAATTCTCCCATGAGAACCAGGGCCTGCGATCTAGCAACTTCTGTTAGTTGCCGGAAGAAAGCCTCATCCACCTCATCCCCCTGGGCTGGTGGTCTATAGCAGACTCTGACCACGACATCACCCTTGTTGCTCACACTTCTCAACTTTATCCAGAGACTCTCAGGTTTTTCTGCAGTTTCATACCGGAGCTCTGAGCAATCATACTCCTCTCTTACATACAACGCAACTCCCCCACCTTTTCTGCCCTGCCTGTCCTTCCTGAACAGTTTATATCCATCCATGACAGTACTCCAGTCATGTGAGTTATCCCACCAAGTTTCTGTTATTCCAATCGCACCATAGTTCCCTGACTGTGCCAGGACTTCCAGTTCTCCCTGCTTGTTTCCCAGGCTTCTTGCATTTGTGTATAGGCACTTAAGATAACTCATCCATCGTCCCTCTTTCTCAGTATGAGACAGGAGTCCTCCCCTGCAGCTACTCCTGCAGCTCTTTCCAGCCATCCGAGTGTCTTAGGCCAGGTCAGGGCTCACTCCTCTGGCCCTGGGTCTTCTCTTCACAAGACTGGACCGGGACAGCAGTCGGAGGATGGGGCTCTGGCTCTATGGGGGTCTCAGCCACCAGAAACTCCTCCATCAGCCTTGCTTAGCATAGTTGGTCCGTGGCACATGACCCAAGTCCTCCTGGCGCATGACCCAAGTCCTCCCGTGTGCTGGAAGGATATGCAAAAAGTGTTTGAGCGCCACTTGTTCTGCTACCTCCACCCCCGTATGCTGCTCAGGTTGTAGCCACCGCCAGCAGGCCTCTCTCACCTGCTGAGCTACCACCCTGGGTCGGGCTCCCGGCAGGTATGTCACCTTTGGAACGTATCGGGGGTGATCTCCAGGGCGTTGAGAATTGTGGCCTTCAGATGTGCGTAGTCATGGGCTTCGGACACCGGAAGCACCCTATAGGCGGCTTGGGCCGGGCCCGTTAGGTACAGTGCTAACAAAATGGACCATTGGGCCACTGGCACTTCACAGCAGAGGTGACTCTCTCAAAAGTCATTAAAAAGGCCTCGGGGTCATTGTCAGGCCCCATCTTGGTTAGGCGTACAGGCACCATGCGGTCAGGGGGTCCTGTAGCCCCGCTGGGGTTGGGTGTTCCTGGAGTAGGCCAAAGGGCCAGGAGCTGCTGCAGGCATTGCTATTGTTGCTCATGGTTTTGGGCCCCCAACTCCCGGATCAGCTGTTTCTTCTGACTGCCGAATTGTTGCAGCAGCAGCTGTTGCTGCTGCTGCTTGCTCTCGGCTAGCCACTTAATTAACTTTTCAACCTCCATCCTCTGTATAGCGGTGGAGGATGGAGGGGTGCTATATGGTTTGGCGGTCGGCATGACCCCTTATCTCAGGGGTGGGAAGACTCCCTCACTCAGGCTAGTCCTGTGGGACCAGGACCAGAGTCTGTAAGACAGGCAAAGGCCCCTCTCTCCCATAGGGCTTTTGCAGTAAATAGTCAATACTAGGCTTTAGCCTGGACTGGGGTAGCTCAGGTAGTCAGCCCTTAACTACAGTCTATCAGGGCTGACTGGGACCTGGGCAGAACTCTGGCAACCAGCAAACACACAGTCTCTCAGGGCTGGCTTTGTCCTGGACAAAGCGCAGGCAGCCTGTAAACAAAACAGTCTCCAGGTGAGTTGGGCCTGGGCTTGTGTAGGCTCAGGGTGCCAGCAAGCAAAGTCTTTCAGGGCTGGCTTTGGCCTGGGCGGAGCTCAGGCAGCCAGCCAACACTCAGTCTTTCAAGGCTGGCTTTGGCCTGGGCGGAGTGCAGGCAACCAATAAACAAACAGTCTCTAAAGGTGAGTGGTCAGGGAGCTCCTGACCTGGGCTAAAGCCTCCTTGCACCATGTAGGGGGTCAGCCACCTGGGGTGGGGTGGCAGGGGGATGCAGGCCCACCCTACTCCACCGCGTCCCAGCCCTGTGTCGGCGGGGATCCAGCTGCAACACGCCGACTGAGTCACGCCGGGCTCTGCAACTGGCTGCTCCGTGGCTGTCCCAGGCTACTTCCTGCCTTCCTGGGGTTTGGTACCTGTGGGCTCCAGGCCTCTTTCGGCTGTTTGGGGTAAACTTCAGCGGGTACTCCAGGCCAGTCGTCATCCACGTCTGGGGATCGGGAACAGCCAGGCGCCGGTTACTCTCGGGGCCTCTGGAGAACAGGCCAAGCGTCCTCCTCCGTTGCAGGCTCTCCCCCAGCTGGGCTGCAGGGCCGGCCTCTCATACTTCCAGCCATGCCCCGGTACTTCCGGCGAAGGGGGCGGGGTGATCTGGGCTCCATCCTCCAAGGGTCGTGTAATGCTCCCTCACTCTCCTGGTCGGAGACCACTCAGCCTCACTACACGGGGCAACCATAAAGAACGCAACTTGACTCTTCAGATTGGGCCATATTTGTTTTGAGCTGATCTGGGCCAGCTGATGGTGGCGGAACGGGGAGGAGAATAGAAGGGGCCCCCCTGCTCTCTCTCTAGTGTTCATCCATTCCCACCTTACGTCCTATGGGCTTTTCTGTGGGTGGCTAGGTGAAAGGTGCTTGCAGGATGGTTTCAGCCACAACAATGGCCGCCCTCACAACAGCGGTGGCCACAGCAGCGAGACCCCCCCCGTTAGCTCCGTCCATACGGAGGTCAATGTACTACTGGGTGATACAGGCCAATTTTAGGGAGCTTCCTGTGAAGCTGACCAACTGTCCCCAGAACTTACTGACAGGAACTTTAAAGTATTTGCAAATGGCACGGGTGCCCTTTAAGTAGTGACATGTGTGGTGGCACCTCTTTCATGGGAAACTTCCATCCATGCAAATGCGCAGGGTCGGCATGTGCAGAGCAAAGATTGCCCTGGGGCACTGTGTCAGGCTCTGGCACCCCTTGACACTACGGACCACTTTCTGGTGGCTTGGTTTTTTACCCGGCAGATGTTGGGACTCCTGGCTCCACGATGGCGGTTCCAGACTTAGTTGGACAGGATCATTTACAGCTAGCCTTAGGCTTGTTTCTGGATGAACAAGGTCAAGTCCCTGGTCAGGCAGATAGAGCTTCTTCCTGTGTGGTATTCTCCAAGATCTTCAGAAGGCATGTCCTGCTTCATGTTACTCTTCTTTTCAGGACTTGGCCTTTCCTAAGAAGGGCCCTTTACTGCCTGGGACTGAAGGGGCATCCTCCTCACATGTCCACTGGCCTTGCTGTCTGGAGGAAGAAAGGCCTCTGGGCCTGGAGCAAAGCGCTTAGTGCTGACTTGTTGACCAAATGCAGGGCTGGCCAGAGAGCCCTTGAAGAAGAGATGCAAAAAATTGTCCTGAGAATGTCCTCCCTGACGGAAGAGTTTGAGGGGTTTCTTGTCAGTTCCATGGTGTAAGGGCCAGCATTTAGGGCTTTGAATCTTGCAATTCAAATTCAAGTCTCCGTGGGACCTTGGCATCCCTTGCTTGCCACCTATCCTTAGTGGGTGGTTCTATCTCATTACTGTCTGTGATTTCATTTTGCTTTGTATAATTGGTTTTCTATTGGATCTGATATTTTAATAAACAAAAAGCAGAAAGAAAGGAAGCCGGGTCTAGGGCTGCGAAGAGAGAGAAAGCAGCATGTTTAGTGGATTGCTTCCCGCTCTCTTTTTCTTGACTACTTTCTCTTCTGCACCATCTTGCTGCTCTTGCTTGTGAGCCTGGCTAGCTCATTGAGCCTAAGACCTTTCATCTGAGGGTCTAGGGTTCGAGTTCCTGGTCAGACAGCAAGCTATGCTCCAGGAGTTTTGAAAGGGGTCTTTTCAGAGTGCGCCTTGATATCCCTTTTTTCTCTTCAGTACGTGGCATTTGTTAAGAAGGGCCCTGTAGTGCATGGGACTGAAGAGGCAACTTCCTGACATGCCCTCTGGCTCTGCAGGCTGGAGGAAGAAAGGCCTCTGGACCTGAAATTATTTCACTATCAACGTTTGATGCTCACCCAGCGCTTGGCTTTCCTTTGAGGGAACCATGAGGAGGGCGGGGCTTAGCCCCATCTCCACTTGGAGAGGGGTGCAGGTGTTGGGGCTGCTGGCCGGGATCTGGAGGAGTGTGACAGGTGTGCGAGAGGAGTGGAGTTGGAGGAGGAGTACGTGTCTGCAGTGCCTGGGGGAGGCCTGTGCCTCTCCCAGGCAGAAGGTATTTGTGCATTGCCAGTTCCTGGGAGGCTTGGGTCCAGCCCAGCATTGGGGACCAGGGGGAGGAGAGAGTGGAATTGGTGAAGTTGGGGAGTGGAGCACCAGGAGCCGCTCACCCCACCTTGGGGGCACTTGTGGGGACTGAGCTCTTTTTGGGTACAGGTAGTTTTGGGACCCCAGAGGATGGGGAGCAACAGTCTGGGCTCATTCACCCACCTCCCCTTATGGGGGGAGCACTGACCCAGTGGTGAGCACCATACCTGTTGGTCAGCCCCGCAGTGTCCTTGAACCTGACATGAGACTGGGGCCACTTGCAGGTGACCGAGCAGGGTGAGCTGCTCGAGCGGCAGATGTCAGAGGTCAGGGCCCTGAGACGGCTGAACTGGAAGGCAGGAGAACAGAGCAGAGTTCCAGACTGGTGCGAGCGGTGGGGTTCCGACCAGAGGAACCAAGAGGAAATCCTACATAGCAGCAGCCTCTGTTTCAGTAACCACAGTGTGTTTAGCAGCCTCTCTTTCAGTAACCACAGTGGCGATTGCAGGACTGCAGCCATCTGTCTCCTTGCAGCAGCAGGATCATGTAGCTGGACTCTGGTACACAGGGATTTCAAGTGGGTGCCCCATGTGGGACTTTGTAGTGGGCATTTTGCTGCTCCACTCCTTGGGCTTTATCCCTCGGCAGCTGGGGTCAGTGATTCACCTGCCAGACAGTAGGGAATTTGATGTTAGTTTCCATTCAGTCAACGAGTCCGAGCAGTTCTGGGAGAAGTTTCTCTTCTGCACTAATGTGTTGCTTTTCCTTGTGAACCTGGCAAGCTCAGTCGGTAGAGCACCAGACTTTTAATCTGAGGATCCAGGGTACACGTCCCTGCTCAAGTAGGGATACTTCCCCCCGTTGCGTGCCCCACAAACTTCCAAAGTTCTCTCGTTAGAACCCTTCTTGTCATTACTTATTTTCTTCAGGCTTTGGCCTTTCCTAGGAAGGGCCCTTTAAGTGCGTGGGACTGAAGGTGCAACTTCCTGACCTGCCTACTAGCCTCGCAGTCTGGAGGAAGAAAGGCTTAATGTCCTTATGCAAAGCATGCGGGCCCTAAACCTTAGAGAGTTGCTATTTCTCCTAGATAGCTGTTCATGGAAGTGGGAGCTGTGTCTCACTGCCTCTGCTTTTGCCTTTAAGTGAATTTGCTGACTTGGATGCAGGATCTGGGGAATGTTTGAAGCTTTTGCTCCTTATTGAGTGCTCTCTCCTGCAGCAGTGCAAGGCGCGCTCTACCTAGAGCCTGAAAGAAATCCACCTTCAGTGTTTGCTGCTCACCCAGCGCCTGACTTTTCTTGGAGGGAGCAGCGTTTAGGCTTGGGCTCAGACTGCCCCTGCCCCTCCCACCCCCCAATCTGGTTACTGCTGCAGCTGTTGGGACTAGTTCCTGGAGCTGAAGGAGCATAAGTGGTGTCCAACTGCGGTGGAGTTGAAGGAGCATGTTTCTGCAGTGCCTGGGGGTACTCCAGGCCTTTCCCAGAAGCTAGGGTGAAGCTCAGTATTGCAGCCTGAATTCTCAGGCCACCAAGAGGAGAAGTTTTTCCCTTCCCTTTAGAGCCTTTCAAACCATATCCACAACCTCAGCTGGCCCTTACCAGGGCGAGCCAGATGGGGGCCCTGGCTATGCCTGGAAAGGACAGTAAATGCCTGGCAAGCTCCACCCACCAGGGCCGGCTCCAGGCACCAGAAGAGAAAGCACGTGCCTGGGGCGGCACATTGTAAGGGGTGGCATTCCGGCCAATCTTGGGGCGGCACAGTCCGGCCGCCCTGCCGTGGTTCTTTTTGTTTGTTTGTTTGCTTTGGCAGCCCGGTCAGCAGCTCCGGAGCCCCTGACCGGCTTCCCGCGCTCTGTCAGTCCCAGCCCAGCCTGCAGGGGCACGGACCCTGGCCTGGGGGGGCAGGAACTAGCGATCCCCACTGCTCACTGTGCCGCCAGGCTCCCTGGGACGTGCCACTCCCCGCCGCCTGCACTGGCCTCCACCTCCCGCACCGCTCTGAGCCTGGCCCGGCTGAGCCACCTTTAAAGGAGCGGCTGAGCCACCACCTCTTGCAGCCCCCAGAGGCTCCGCCTGCCCGGCCGGGAAAGGCACCCCAAGGCCAGAGGGGGAGCCCCTTCTTGCCCGGCTGTAAGCGGGCTGCAGCTCCTGGCTGCCCATGGGTAGAGGGAGCGGGCAGGCGTCGCCCTTCATCCCCCTGCGAGCCGCCTTGACTGCCCTCCACGCGCTCCCTGCGGCTGCCGTAGAGCCGGCCCTGCCAACCACTCATAAACACCCCCCAGTTCAGTGATTCCTCCCGCAGCCACACGGCTTTCACACACACTCCCCAAAAGCCTGCCTGGGGGAGTTTATTTTCCCTTGCATTGCATTGAGTGCTACAGGATTCAGCTGGCCCTTAGATTGCTGCCCACCTCAACTGCACCCCTGTGAGAACCAGAGGTTAAATGGACAGTGACTCAATGGGGGACTGCGGAGGAGTGGCAGCCCATGGTGCTCATTGGAAGATTTTTGAGTGTATGTCCCTTTCATACACCGAACCAGTACAATCACGAACACACCTCCCTAAGTTAAAACGACTATAAACACCACTCAGCTAACTAAGGGTTAAACAACAATGTTACCAAGTGTGGGTCAAATCAATGAGTTAACAATGATATTGCATTGGAACCAGGTCAGCAGTTTAGTCAAATCATCAGATTAATACAGCAGAAAATCCCCGCTTATAAATCCTAAAACGGAGAATATAAACCAACCAGTGCAATCCAGCTTGAGCTAATTGGATATTTCTGAATATTACTGAAACCAAATTATTGCTTACTTTTAAGCCACAACCTCAGAGCCAATTAAAGCTGCCACCTCACCACAACACCGATATATACCTTATTGAGCCTGTTATAAGTAGAAGTTTTAAAGGTCTTAATGAACAATTTATGTTCGACAGCTTAGTTTCTTTGAACCCTTTCACAGATGAGGAGTGTGTGCGCGTGCACACACACAGACACACAACTAGAAAGTCTGGGATATTAATGAAGACAAAAATAGAAAAAGGAATCATAATTTACTAAATTGACAAGGGGTTAGATTTCTGCAGCTCTCTCATTTTTTGGATTCAAGTGGAATAGGAGCTGTAGCTGCACTGAAGGAAACAGGTGATTGTATAGCTGGCCTGGTGCGTCAGGATAGTGTGTTTTATCAGGTGCACAGAAACCAGTCAAGGCTGACGTAGATGTCATGACTTCCTTCCCCAGGGGGATCAGTCTCTCTTTGAAGGCTTGATGCCCTGAAAGGCAAAAGATGTCCACCTTTACCATGATCTTTATGGTTGTAAGTTCTGCCTTACCATGCCTTCCGGAAGGTCTCCTGGTAAATCAAATGTGAAGTATACCTTGGACACAGACAACACATCCCGATCCAGTTGACGTGTGGCCGCCTTTTGGCCAATATCTGTTTGGAAAAGTGCTGCTTAACCCAGCAGCTTTCTTAAAATATCTGTTGTTGCAAACCACTCGCACTGTGTATGGGTGAACCCCAAAGATCTCAGAAATGAAAGAAAAACAAGGCCAGTTTTGAGGAAGTTTCCATAACCAGGCGTTAGGGTTAAACAGCTGGGCTCTAACAGCCTCCTCAAAAAGAAGAGGGGCCTCAGCAGCCATACAAATAGTTATTTGAAACAAATTCGCAGAAAAGCTACCATTATTCCTGCATCACCATCTTAAATTGAGACATCTGCTGACCAATGTGACATCTTTGCTTTGCAAACCAAAGAACTGGGACACTCAGGCTTAGTCTACAGAGAGAAGTTGACATAGGGCAGCTTACATTAACCTAGGAATGTCGCATCTACACTACAGTGTTTTTCCCGCTGATGTCACTTGCCGACTACGTTGACTTAAAACGCCACCTACATGAGAGGCGTAGTGCTTAAGTCGATGTAGTTAGGTCGATGCAGCACCTCTGCAGACACTGCGTTGCTTATATCAACTGAAGTGGCCTCCAGGAGTTGTCCCACAATGCCCCACTGTGACTGCTCTGGTCACCATTTTGAACTCCGCTGCCCAGCAGCCGGGTACACGGGAATAAGCCCCTCCCCTATTGAAGGACTGTAATTGTTTTGAATTTCCATTTCCTGTTTGCTCAGGTGGAGCACTCACCTGGCAACTGCCCAGCTGAGCATGCCGGCTACTTGCTCCAAACATGTCCAACCTGTAGTACAGAGAAGGTGGTGGATCTCCTGAGTCTGTGGGAGAAGAGGCTGTGCAGGCATAGCTCTGATCAAGCCATAGAACTGTGGACATCTACAAGCAGATTGCTTGGGGCATGGGGGAGAAAGGCTACAAGGGGGACCCGCAGCAGTGCTGCGTGAACATCAAGGAGTTGCGGCAGGCATACCAGAATGCAAGGGAGGCAAGCAGTCACTGCAGACATGCTGCTTTTACAAGGAGCTGCATGCTATCCTCTGCAGTGACACCCCCTTCCCCAAGAGCCCCGGGGATATATCAGAGGAGTCAGAATCACAGGCCACTGCAGGCAACCCTGGGGAGGAAGTTTTGGACAAGGAAGAGGAGGATGAGAATGGGGGACAGGCGAGTGGGGGAATCCATTGTTGTGGCGAGCCAGGAGCTGTTTGTAACCCCAGAGCAGTCCATCCAGTTGCAACACTTCAGCATGGGCGAGCATGATGCGGGGCAAGGAACCTCTGGTAAGTATGCAGTTTGCATTGGTATTGCATGGACACATCTCATTTACTGTTTTTTTATTTGTGTTACAAGAGTTAACCACTATACCTCCACTGATTATTTCACTATCTGCTTCTCATTCAGATGATCACGTAATTAGTCTCTTACTCTTTAACCAATAACTTCACCTATAATTTTATTTTCATTGGTAACAATTACATATTCAAAGATCATAAAATCTTGTCATATATGGTAGTTTTCTTTTAATCCCCATTGCCAACAACTGAACCCTTGGATCAAGTTGTGGTTTGTACCAGTGTAGGTGCCTCCCACATCTATGGGTTCATATATCTCTGGATCTTCTGCCATGTGTGTTGGTGGAAGGGGTCTCCTACGTGGGAATGTTTGCATCACGAGGAAAAACACCTCTCTCTTCTTTTCACACTTTTTAATCTTTCAAAGTAGGAGGAGGTAGAGGAGAAATTATATTAACGCATAAAACACAGGAGAAAACTAACATCTGGTCTACACTTAAGACATTTATCGGTATAACTACGTTACTCAGGGGTGTGAAAAATCCACACTGCTGAGCAACGTAGGTACACCACCCTATGTAGCTATCGCTACGTCAGCAGGAGAGCTTCTCCTGCCAACATAGCCACCGCCGCTTGCGGGGGCTGGACTAATAAAGTCAGATGGGAGAGATCTCGCCCATTGGCTTAGAGCATCTGTAATAGCAGTGCTACAGCAGCGCAGCTACATTGGTGCAGCTGCGCCAACATCAGCTTTATTGTGTAGCCATAGCGTCAGACACAACACCATAGAATCAGGGCTCAACATGCGTCTATCCTGAGGTCTGAAATTGGAATCCAACACATTCATTGCCTGACTGGTCACCATCATTTCTACAGCCTGAAAGTCCTTCTTACCCACTCAGGCAGCCAGTTGGGGATCTATGGGGAAGGAATGTCCTATGAAAAACTCTCTCTCTTTGCCTCATGAAACTTTGGATCGAAATAGCAAAGGACAATTCTTTCCAATCTAACCGTGGCATCTTTTGGGATTGAAATCCGTGCTACTGAACTAGGGAGCGGTGTTCCAAAAACAGTTTTACCTGGGCCAGAGTTCACCACAGCTTCCTTTTCAGGGGTGAAAACCAACAACTATGTGCCTACTATTCCTACTCAAGTTCTTGCCAAATCCTTGGCCTGGGTTAGGGTAAATTTGCATTTCTCCAGTGGAGAATCCTTTACCAAACCTTGCAGAATGTCAGCAGTGTAAGTGAGGAATGGGTTCCCCAAACATACACAGTTTATTTCTTTAATTTGGTGGCGCAAGTCTGAGCCCTGGTCAGTTAGGAAGTAGATACAGAGGGTCAGACTCTCTGTAAGCTACTGGAGATGGGGTTTCTATTTGAAAATAGTTATTTCCTGCGGCTATTTCACATTCGATACTGAACTTATTTTAAACATATTTAATGCACCTACAAAAAATGTCATATCTATTTCTCCCCATCTGTATCAAGAGTAGCATTTCACAGATTATAGGATTAGCTAGGGGATAGCTTCAGGAGTAATTTCCTGTAGGGTCAGGATCACAGAAACAAAAACATAGGCATTTTGCATCATCACAAGTCACTTACTGTGGATCATCTGAGACAATATTGACCTAAACAACTCAACAATGCTGTGATCGCAGGCAGTTACTTCAGTTAGTAGCACAGTTTGGGGCATGCCGTTGGTCATTTCTGAGTGGAGATTTAAAAACACTACTTTTCTTTGTTAGCATGTCCAGTAGATTGGAAAGTCGTGTCCTGTTGACTGAACTAAATTTGAACTTTCTCCATGTCAAGAAGAAAGGCAAGGAGCAAGCAAAATGCAATTAAGACATGATGACATTAGCAAATGGTCATTTGTCTTAAAGTCCCCAATAAATCTGAGGTACATTCTGTGAAACAAAATTAATATCCAGTTCTATGACCAAACAGCCTTCAGGAAAGATAGAAAACCCTGAAGAGGTACAAGACACTTTAATATTCAGGTGAAGGGAAATTTCAAAGCAGGTTACTTCTGATGACTGACAATCAGGACAAGAAATTCTCCCATACTGTTCTCCACTGATCGATTTAAACCTGCTTCACTAAGCGCTGACTCATTCTTGAGTTGTGTTACTTACAAAAGTTTTAGCATCATCATAATGGGGGGGAGGAGAAAAAACCCACAGCCAACCTTCCCATAAGTGGCTTTACCAATAGATGGAAACTGGGATTTTAACTCCAAATGCTCACACTGTGTTTGGGACCCATTTGAATTCCCTTCCGTATCTGTGACACTTTCATCTCCTGCCCCCATGAGTCTGATTGAAATCAAAGCAGCATTCTCAAGCTGAAAATACTGCATTACCTGAATGTTTGGGAGGTGGAGGGGTAGAATATGAAGAAGATAAAAACTTCATGGCTCAGACTGAAGGTAACTGTTCTGGGGTGATGGGGAAGCAGGGACTCTCTCTGAGTCACCCCTTATCCTTCCACTGTTGCAGAGGCTGAAATGACACGTGTGTGAGTGCCCATGTTCCTGCTCTTCATTATATTCAAATGTATTTTAAATGAGGATAATGGTACAAAGAATAACTACTATTTTGCACAACACTAGCCCAATTGAGAACAACTGCAACTAGGGTGACCAGAGGTCCCCATAAAATCGGGACTGTTCCGATATTTAGGTGTTTGTCCCACGTCCCAATATTTCGCTCCGGCAGCACTCGTCCCGTCCCCCCCCATGTGTCCCGATATTTTCTTTCTCTCATCTGGTCACCCTAACTGCAACTGAGACAATCTGTCCCCGGAGGGGAACTTGGTGACTCTAAGAGTAATTTTTCAGTGTTTTGAGTTCCCTGACAATTAATCGATTTACCAACTTTCTCCTGTGGTTTGTTTCCCTGTTGCCTCTCTCGCCTGTGCTGTCTGTCACAGGCTTTACCCTGCTCATGACTCCTGGACACATTCCCTTTGGACCTTCGTGATGATGGTCCACGTGCTTCCACTTTCTCAGCAACTTTCTGGTGAGGCTTCTGCTCCGCGTTCTCACCTGCTGACATAAAGAGAGAAACCTCAGAAAGAGAGATGGAGAAGGGGACAGCAAACCAAAGTAAGTGTTGGAGAGATGGAAAATAAAAATCAGGAGCTGAATTTTCCCCAAACACTTTCCCCAGAGCGGAGAGGAGGGGATCAATTCTGCCTCCACATTCCATCCAAACACTCAGTGGGATCATGGGGGGAAAGCTACTCCCTGTTGTCAGTCAGGGTGGGTAGGAAGCCATGAGCAATATCTGCCCTGAGGTTCTGACACCTGCTGGGGACAACCCTGAACTCAGAGAACTCCTAAGGTTTTTGTAGAGTATCAAAGCTTTGGGCACTGACAGTATTTGAATTAGTTTAATAATTCCTCACCTGTGAAGGCACTTCTCAGGATCTCCCTTTCCTCAGATCCCTGGAGATCTGGGACCCATGGCTCTTTTCCTCGTTCCAGCTGGGACATCAGTCAGGTTTGGAAATTGTAAATCCTGCTGAAGAGAAATAAAACAGTCTCTCTGAGATCATCCCCTTTCATATAGGCTTAAAGTCCTACCAGGGCAAGCCCAACAGTTCCAGGCCTTTAGGTAGCAGCACCTTTTTTTTCTCATCATGGCTCTCCAGTGAGTCCAAATGATTTCAGACTCCTGGTAGTGACTTTATCTCTTTAGAAGGTGATGAAACCAGTAGGCATTTGCAGCAAAGCCTGACACTTTTTTCAAAACAAGCCTGCATTTATTAGACAACTAGAATACAGGATTGAAGGATCCTCAAGTTAGCCTGATAAAGCAAAACTTAACTTAGAGTTCATGTTGGCAAAGTCATCTGCCCAGCTTTTCCAAAAATGCCTCAATTTCATCTCTGTTTCTTTCTCCCTGGGCAGTAGCAAACTTAAAGCACAGCCTGTTTATAGCCAGGTCCCTATGTCCCAAGTTGCAGTCCTGCTGTGTTCATATGTTCTGTTTCTCTTGGATCACAGTCATTACAAAGCGAATCCCTGTAGTTAGGTATTCCATTGTCTCTCCAGGGTGCTCCATTCATATATGGACAGTTCTTTATAGTGTATCCATGCCAACCTGGAGAGGCCTACCTTTCTCCAATAGCCATTCCTTCCCGTCCCACAGAAGTAATTAACTCCTTCACACTCAGTGGGTAACAAAGCAAAATGTGATGGGACGCTGAGTCATACATATTTTTTATGAAAGAAAGAAAGAAAAAGAAAGACGGGAGATATGGTCAAAGCAAAGGGCTAAGATAATGGATCATAAAATCATAAAATCTAGGACTGGAAAGGACCTCAAGAGGTTATCAAGTCCATCCCCCTGCCCTGAGACAGGATCAAACATAAGTATACCATTCGTGACAGGCATTTATCTAATGTGTTGTTAAAAACCTCCAATGAAGGGGATTCCACAACCTCTCTTAGTAACCTATTCCAGTACTTACCTATTCTGATAGTTAGCAACTGTTTCCTAATATCCAACCTAAATTTCCCTTGCTGCAGATCAAGCCAATCACTTCTTCTCCGACCCTCAGTGAACATGGAAAACAATTGATCTCCACCCTCTTTGTAACAGCCCTTTCCATGTTTGAAGACTATTAGGTCCCCCACTCAGTCTTTTCTCAACACTAAACATGCACAGTTCCTTCAACCTTTCCTCAAAAGTCATGACAGCATAGGTGCCAACTTCTCCCGGCACCGGTGGGTGCTCAACCCACCTCACCTCTGCCCTGACTCCAGCCCTGCCCCGCCCGCCCCCTGCCCCACCCCCATTCCAACCCCTTCCCGAAAGTCCGTGCCCCAACTCCGCCCTCTCCCTGCCCCTATTGGACTCCTTCCCCAAAGCCCCACCCTGGCCCCACCTCTTCCCCTGAGCACACCACGTTCCCGCTCCTCCTCCCTCCCACAGCTTGTTACACCACAAAACAGCTGTTTTGAGGCAGCAAGCGCTGTGAGGAGAAGTGGGGACATGGCGCACTCAGGGGAGGAGGCGGAGGTGAGGTGAGTTGAGCAGAGGCAGGGGGGCAGGGCGGGGAGCTTGGCTGCCGGTGGGTACAGAGCGCCCACCAATTTTTCCCCATGGGTGCTTCTGCCCCGGAGAACCCACGGGGTCAGCACCTATGCATGACAGAGGATGAGGAGGTAGCTTTTTACTTCTGAATGCAGATGAGCAGGGCAAGGTTGCATTCATAAGTTCATGGAGGATAGGTCCATCAATGGCTATTAGCCAGGATGGGCAGGGATGGTGTCCCTAGCTTTTGTTTGCAAGAGGCTGGGAGTGTGTGACAGGGAATGGATCACTTGATGATGACCTGTTCTGTTCATTCCCTCTTAAGCACCTGGCATTGGCCACTGTCGGAAAACAGGATACTGGGCTAGATGTATCTTTGGTCTGACCAATTATTGCCATTATTATCTTTTTATGTTCTATAATTAGATGTCACCAACTAACATGTACTCCTCAAGCACTGTGATAGATGGTTCTTTACACTAAAAATCACAACAATATTCTTGTGACGTTATCTGATTAAAATGTGACCAGATAGACCATTGTTGCAATCACTGTTATATATTTCCAACAAATCTTGTACAAAATGTGGCATGTAAGATATCTATGAAAAGGTAATGATTATGCTATCTGCATGCATGTATCATTTTTGTATTTGAAGTTATAAGTATTGGCTCTATACCTGGATTTCAAATGTTTGCTTCTAGGGTAACACCCGCAAGGTAGTTATCCAGCACATCTTGGAGGGACTATTCAAATTGAGTGGCCCATCAAAAGGACACAAGTCACAATGGACCATGGGAGACCTCATCTAAACCAAACAGACTTTTATGTGAACGTTCCATCTGAAGTATAGGTAATGGCTTCTTGCAATGACTGAATGAAATTGGGCATGGACGGGGAACTTGCCCATGTGACTCCAAGATCCCAACTTTCACCTGTGATTTTCCACTAGCTGTGCTGAGGACTTTGAAACAATGAGTTTCCCTCCACATAGCAGACGCTATAAGAGGCCTGGAAACATCTCCACTGTGTCTCTATCCTGCTCCAGCCTCTTTCCTGCTCAAACCTCTGGACTATGGACTTACACTAATGGGAGCATTCTAACCAAGAGACTGAGGACCTTCCAGTGGTTTGGAAGCAACCAGAGACTTATCAAACCAGCAGTTTATTCCATCACTGCTATAAGCCTGAACCAAGAACTTTGCAATTACTGTATGTATTTGATTCCTTTAACCAATTTTAATGCTCTTTCTTTCTTTCTTTCTTTCTTTCTTTCTTTCTTTCTTTCTTTCTAAATAAACCTTTAGAATTTAGATACTAAAGGATTGGCATCAGCGTGATTTTTGGGAAATATCTAAGTTATATATTGACCTGAGTGTGTGGCTGGTCCTTTGGGATCAGAAGAACCTCTTATTTGAAGAGATTAGTTTTAAAGAACCACTCATTCCTAAGTCTACTGTTTTCGGTGGTAATACAAGGACTGGAATGCCTAAGGAATCTGCTTTTATGACTTCTTGTTAGCCAGTGTGGTGAAGCAGAAGTTTCCTTTTGTTGCTGGTTTGGTATATTCTATGAGGGATTAGGCGCCAGTCTTGGGGTGTAGCTGCCCTATTTCTCAGCAGTTTGTTCTGAATTTGGCTTCTCAGCTGTGGCCCACTGAGGCATGGTTACAGGCACTAAG